GCTGATTCCTCAGTAGCCCTCAATCTTGGCTAAGACAGTACTTCCTCTCACAAGCCCTCCTGGGGCAGGTACCCTCCCTCTTCTCAAAGGGTTTCACTACATTGACTACCCAGCCTGTCATGGCAATGATGATGAACTAATTTTTCCACCAAACCATGAGCTCGCATAAAGACGCCCAAAATACAGATGTTGAATGGCCTTCATAGAATAAGCAACTCATCTGCTTCTTCTGTCACTTACTAGCAGTGGGACCCAAAGTTTCCCTAAAGCCTCAGTTTTCACATCTAGCAAGTGGGGCTCATAATAGCTGGACTTCCCACCTCTACCTCACAGAGTTCTCTAAACCTTGCTGTGTGCCTTACAGGCTGTGACCTCACAGCTCTATGAGGCAGCACACTGGGTTGAATAGTGTCCCCCCAAATTCATGTCCACCTGGAAGCTCACGATGTGACCTTATTTGGAAATAGGGTCTATGCAGATATAATTAAAGTAAGGATCAAGATGAGATCATATTGAATTAGGGTGGGCCCTAACAATGACAAGTGTCCTTATAAGAGACAGGAAAGGACACACAGACACATAGGAAAGCCGTAAGAAGACCAGGCACAGACTGGAGTGAGAGAGCTTCAAACCAAAGAATGCTAGGAGCTACCTGAAACTAGAAAAGGTGAGGAAAGATCCTCCCTAGGGCCTCTGAGGGCAGTGTGGCCCTGCTGATTTTGGACTTCAGACCTCTTAAGCTGTGAGAGAAGATTTCTACTGTGTTAAGGCCCCTGGTTTGTGGTCATTTGTTATGGAGGCACTAGAAAACAAAACAGACAGGTGTTTAGTGCCTGCACATTACAGGTGAGAAACCGGGCTTAGGCAATGAAGTCACCTCCCGAGGCTCACACAGTCCCTGCACTACAGAGGCACGATCTGAACCTTGTATGCCAGGCTCCCATCTACATCCTGGCCTGCTGTTGCCCACACACCAGCCCATTGTCCAGCCTCCACTTGGAAGACGCAGGAATTTACCCCATGGTATGGCTGCTTCTAAAATTGCCACCCCTCACTTCACTGAGGGAAATGGGAGGCAGCCTAAAAAGCTTCATCTCTACCCCTCCTCTGGCCCCAAAACTATTGCCTGAGCAACTGATTTTCTTTCCTTCTTTCCCCTACCGTCCCTGTCTCCCTTCCTTCCCTGCTTGATTCTTGACTATGTAGACCCCTCAGTCTCATGCTCGAGATCCCAGTCTAGCCCCAACCTACCTTTCCAGTTCTACCTCAACCTCTTCTCAAGCAAGCCTGTCCCCCAGTCAAACCCTCCTGAGGCAGCCCTCACCTCCCTGCCTTCTTGTCTCCTCTCCCGAGCTTCCCTTGGTCTAGAATCTCCCATTCATCGCAGGCACACATCAAAAATCCACTCCTTCAAGCCCAGGCTCAAATTCCACCTCCCCCTGGCACACCGAACCAACAGCACGCTCCCCTCTGACCATATACATGCTTTCATACAAACATCGTTGAGTACCTGATCTGTGCCGGGCAGATCTAGGGGGTGAGGAAATGCAGTGATCTCACTGTCTGGGAAGAAGGTAAGGAATCCTAAAAAGAGTGTGGGAAGCGGGAAGTAGAGAAGGAAGCAGCAAATCCCCGCAGGAATGAGGCAGGCTGTGCTCAGGAGAGGAAGGCTAGGGAACTGGAGTCCACATAACGGCTGGGAGGCAGAGAACACATGTTCTCTGGAGACAGGAGATTCTGCGTAACAGTATGGGGGAGACACGGGGAGAGGTTCCAGCTTATGGAGGATTCATGTAAACATTCTGAGGTCTTGATCCTGTCCACCTTAGTGTTCCAAAGTGTAGCCCCAGTACCCCTACATCAGAATCATCCAAGGAGTTTATTAAAATGCAAATTCTTGGATCCCCACCCGGCTCAAGGGATGGGGCCCAGGACACCGAACTTTTAACAAGCTCCCTGGGTAAGTCCAACGCACCTTAGTTTTCCAACCACAGAAGAGGAGAGGGTGGAGGCACATTGAAGGATTTGAGAGGAATACATCATGGGTTGATCCGCTTTTTGGACTAAACGGATAGAGCTGATCTCATATCTGTCTGTTTCAGTGTCTGCCTCTGTGGTAGACACTTGGTTGCCACCTAACTCAGCAACCATCCCCTCTTCTTCCTTCTTAAAAATAGTAATGGGCTCAGAGAAGGGAGGTCCATCCCAGCCCAAGGGGAGAATCCTGATTGGACCCTTTTGTACAGTCCCCACTTTCCCAGACTCCTTCACAGAAAGAAATGACCATGCAACAGTTGTGGTCCATGAGATATAGGGATAGTTTGTGTGGAGCCTCCTGGGAAAGGTTTGCCTCCTGTTACCATGGGCAGAGGTGAAAGAAACTCTGGCTATGCTGATCCTTCTGCTTCTAGATCCTGGGTGTGTGATGAAAGGCAATCTAATGACCAAGAGGGACCAAGCCCAATAAGGAAAAGCTAATGTATGGAGAGTGGCAGAGCAGAAGGATGCAAAGATCTAGTTCTTGAGGACATGGTTGAGCCACTGCCTCAAACCCAGACTCCCCCCATGCCCTCACCACTCCCATTCAACCCTCTACCAAACCAAGATTTCTACTCCTGAGACTTATTAGAATGTAAACACCTCGAGGGCAGGGACTTTGTCTGTTGCATGCACTCACAGTGCCTTGAACAATGCCTGGCACACAGTAGGTGCTCAGTAAATATTTGTTGAGTAAGCTTTGAATGGGTAAGTAGATGACTTTACTGTTTATACTAGTCAACTGAGTCATCTGTAGCTTGTAGCCAAGGAATCCTGACACAGTAACTTTTCTCTCCAGCCTGAGAACCTCCTAAGAGCAGGAAAGACACTGAGCATTATTGAACACGGCAACCCACAGCCTGGCACAGGGCCCACATTTAAGAGGAATAAGCAGCTATTTCTCAGAGGAGCCCCAGACACTGCCCTGAACCTGGTTTCAGGCCTGCCAGAGAGCTGGATGGTTGGACCTGTGAGTTACCCTCATTCAGACATTGGGTGAGAAGCCCCTGAGGCAACTGACGAGAAGAGCTTAAGAATGTTCACTCTGGATCCCCCACACCAAATGATGCCCAGGGGCTACACAAACTGCTCCAAGAGGGTGGGAAGCTGGCAGCAAGTGTTGCCACTAGATTCTTCTTGAGGTGGAAAGAAAAGAAATTCTGAGAATAGCCAGACCCAACCTCCACACAAGTCATGAATTTCCAAGCCATGGTGGTCAAGTCTAATCCTAAGTGTGGCAGCCAGGGAAGATGAGAAACGAGGAGTGAGGCACAGGGCATCAGCAACTTCACAGATAGGACCTCGGATGATCTGGTCCCACCCCCTTATTTCACAGATGGGAAAATGAGATCAGGGAAAGTGGGCAACTAGCCCCACGGTACCCAGTGAGCGAAGGCAGTGTTTTAATTGTGAACTCAGGGTCACTGTAATCTTTTTTTGGTGGGGGAGGCAAAGGGAGAAGGAGAGAGAGAATCCCAAGCAGGCTCCACACCCAGTGCGGAGCTGGACATGGGGCTCAATCTCACAACCCTGAGGATCGTGACCGGAGCCAAAATCCAGAGTCAGAAGCTTAATTGACGGAGCCACCCAGGAGCCCCAAGGTGATTTTAATCTTAAGAGGTTTAGGGATAGGCATTAGAGAAGGGATCCTCTCAAATTCTCCCAATTGGCATGCAGAATTAAGAACACATGTTCATAGATCAACTTTTCTAAAGAAGGTCCATAGTGGTCATCAGATTCTCCAGGGGGGACAGGACTAAAGAAAAGTAGAGGGAGTGGAAGAGGCTGGGCCAAGGTCACGTGGTGAGTCACAGCAGACCTGAGACTACCACGTGTGTCCTAGATTCTTAGTCACTGCCCTACACTTTCTCTCCACGGGAAAGGCCATTTTCTTCAGTGCACCAATGTACCAGATTGGTTCACTAAACCAATGCACCAGATGGGCCTAGTCAGTAGGAATACTATGGTTTCCAACAGGGGGAGGCTCTGCCATCCCATGGGCGCTGCCCATGGACACTGACAGAGAAAAACGAGGGAAGACCACAACTGCGCAAGAACCACTCACTCCTGAACTGTACCCAAGGGTCCCCAGGTAAGATGAAGGCCACAGATCCACGATCTCCAGAACTTAAAAACATTTCTAGTAAGATGCACTCTGTTCCTTGGTACAGACTGTTGATGCAGGTCATGCTCAACTCTTGTGCAGGTTTCCACAGACTCCACTGGACACCACGCTAGCCTCAGAAGAGTCAGCTCCCGAAGCAAATGACAGATTGAACACAACAGCAAAGTATGAAAATTAATTGAGATATTTAATAGACAGTGCAAACCATAATTTCATCTGAATATAAATGTATGCACATGTTTCCAATGAGTTATCTATCAGTTATCACAAACAGCAACAAGGACCTTAGAGCTATGTTAGAAAAATGTATAGCTGGGGTTTAACTCTACAGTCTCACTTGCTCTCAAGAGAACACCATCCATTTCAAATCAGTGTCACAAACTCCAAAAGACCAGGGGAATAGGAGTGAGGGGTAGGCAGATTGGTAAACACAGGGGCCAGTACACAGGAGATGGACAGAAATACAGTTCTCAAGGAAACCAAAGTCAGATGCATTATTACAGCTAAGGACAAGGAAAAGCCTATGGCTTTTAAAAAACTTTTCTGCCAGTACCATACAAGTCTTACAAAGAAATGTGCGACAAGTCAACTGACTTAAAAGGACAGAGGCTACATTTTCAGATCATTTCAACTGCAAACAGTCGACCCTTCCCACTGAGGTTCAGCAGTGGAGTTAGCGTAGTCCAGAAGCTCCATGTTGGATTTGCAAATACAGTTTATTTTACAGAAATTCAACATTATAAACAGCAGGCACCTCCCACCC